TAAAACTATTGTATTAAAGAGCTATAGAAAGCTAATATGCAGCTTAATGTTTATTTGCCTGAAGTAATAATCAAAATGGAAACTTAATGAATTTTATTATTATCTTAAAATAAGAAGAATTGAAAGAAGAATATATGAATAAGATATGCAGAGTGTCTAATTCCTAATGGTACCAATTGTGTGCAGATAGAATAGATCAAAAGAACTGAGCAGAAAAGTCTTCTACCATTTTATAATTAGTAACGATTTTCATAATTAGTAACGAGTTATTAATTATCAGAGATCGTAGTGAGTATAAGCGCGTATCCGTCCGGATATTATATATATATATATATATATAATATTTTAAATATTAGGATTCAAAACTTTTTTGAATTATCAATTAGAGCAAATGACTTCACAGACATATTCTTACTGTGCAAACAAGCAAGGCGACAGAATGCATAATTCTCGAAAGATTAAACGTGACTTGGATTCGGAAGAACCTCTCCTTGCATCTATTTCCATTCTCTATTACAACTCACACTCTTTTTACTGTAACGTAACTTCTTCAATAATGAGATCGTGATAAATTCTTTATGAATTCTCACTTTTTTTCATAGATTCAAAAATTTTTCCGTGTTTATTGCATAAAATCCAATAATTATGAAATATTATCAAACTCTCGTACAGAATGCATATATTTTTCCGTAACATCATATAAATAAATTACATCACTATATATCTTTGTTTTATCACGATAAAGTTTGCCTATCAATATCAATATGTATTAACGAAGCCAATTTCGCGAGCAGATCCTTCAACCTTTAAACAGCTCGCGAGCGGCGCTAGGAGAGGAAGCAGTCTCGCATGCATGCGCTTAATCTGCACAAGGAATCGACCCCTTTCGTCCCACTTCTTCCTTCGATCCAAGGTCACACATACAAACTTCGTAAGGTTCTTCGTCTTGGCAAGGCTTCTTCGAGCTTGAGTTTTTGAGATTCATCTATCCGATATTTTAAGTCCTTCAATCGATCGCAATCATCTTCTTCTCTTTCCCATCTCACTCTTCTGTTAATATATCTAATATCAGTGACGTCGTTTAATTGGAACACAACGACTAGATCGGCTTGCAAAAAATCGCGTGGAAATTTAGTTAAAACCGCTATCACATTTACCTCTTTCCCTCTTTATGGGGAAGCATTTATCAAGCTTTTCCCTCGGCAAGATGAGACTTTGCCGATATTGGTCTTTAAAAAAGACATTCCATCACGTCGTCGCCGCCGTATGACGATCGGAAAGCCGAAAGAGAAGCGACACGTGGCAAACGAATTAATTAAATTCAAAGGAATCGCTTTTGAGGATTATAAATTAATTATCATTTTAACTGACAAAAGTTTTCATCAACGAGAATAAGGATATAAGTT